TATATTTATATATATATATATATATATATATATATATATATATATATATATATATATATATATATATATATATTTATATATAAAAAATATTTATATATATTTATTTTATTTTTTTTTTTTTTTTTTTTTTATATATATAAATAAATATATATATATATATATATATATATATATATATATATAATAATATATATATATATATATATATATATATATATATATATATATATATATATATATATATATATATATATATATATATATAAAAACACATTATTGGGACCCCTGGTATTAAGTTTTATAGCAATTAGCCTGAAATATATGTATGGTCTTCATTCATTCAATGCTCATTAATGCTGAAAATCAAAATAGTATGCTAATGCTTGGAGTTAGTGAGACTTTTTATGAAAAGTAATACATTTTCAACATTAAATTAAGTTAATTATGAATATCAGTAAATGCATTTATAATGTTGCAAAATAATTTTCAAATTCAGACTTTTTATCATACTGAAAGTTGTCTTTCACAAAAAAAAAAAGAAGCACAAATGCACAACACCGACAATAATAAATGTTTCTTGAAACGTAATGAATCATATTAGATTAATTTCTGATGGATCATGTGACATTGAAGCCTGGAGTAATGATGCTGAAAAATTCAGCAAATCCTCAAAGCTAATAACCAGATCTCATCTTGGGCTCCTGATTAGCAAATTCTTCTTCGATTCCCAAGGGATTGTTCATTTGGAAAGGTATTTTCCCAGGAACTCACTAATTGATGACTGAACAGTGTGTGTATGCAAGTTTCCAGGCCAAAAGTAAAGTGATAGCTAGTCATTTTACAGGAATTAAAGAGTCAAATTGTATTTCTACCCAACAACAGACCAAAAACACACCTTTAGCAATGCACGTCAAAGGTTTGTCTCTTCTGAAAGTGTTCAGTGAGCGCTTCCTTCAGAAGAGGCCAATTTATAGACGCTGAGGACTCTCTGCGCTGTACGCTTCTGGGGTAAAAGTGTGTTGCTCTGGAAACTGTCGTTAAGGGGCTGTACTGTATTCAGGAGACAGAATATAACTGCCAAACTAATGAGCTCCATTGGATTTTTGGAGGGAAACTGGATTTCAGATGCAACTTGTAAACAAATGTTATGTAGATAACTTCTCACTAGTCTTCTAGTAGACCCCGTTTATATTTGCATTCTGCTACTGTATGTTAAAGTTATAATAAACACTCTTTTTTTTATACATTTTTATGTGTATATTTTTATTTATGTAAATTTTTTCCTGTCTAGCCGTTATGCACAATGTTTTGAAAGTGACATTGATGTACCTGCTCTTTCTGGGAAACTTCTACTTAAAGTGTAGCTCTCTTATTTTAGGAATGTCCTTTTGTTCAATCCTTTTGAATTAAAATGCTTTTTTTGAAAATGTTTTAATTATCCAAAATAATCTTAATCATTGTTTAAGACTTTAGCAAAAAACCTTGTTTTGGGTTTTACTCTTATATAAATTGAAAAGTTTTATAAATGTAAATGTAAGTAAATTAAACCCGTTTTTAGCACATTCAAACAAGAATTATTAGCCTAGAGTGATGTTTAAACTCCTAGAATTAGTACTTATTGATTTGTATTCAATAGACCTGTTCGCTTTTGTTTATATTATCCTCTTGTTTTCCCTTATTTCTCGCATGCTATAATTAATTCATGATTCCCTTATAGTTTAAAAATGAACTAATTTGTGGAGGCTGTATTCTAGTTTATTTGAACTGTAAATCCTTTGTTATAAAATAAAAAAAATTGATAATCACGCCATGTAAACGGTCATCATGATGCCACATGAGCCCTGAGGTGTCTGGCTTGACTGCTCAGTTTTTAACTCCCCCCACGCCTGCCATCAACTATTTTTGGTTTAAGTTGAACGCACCTAATGTCTGTTAAACTCCTCCCACCGATTCTACATCACGGTCTGAAACTCCTCCCACTTATTCTACATCACTGTCCGTTAAACTCCTCCCACTGATTGTACATCACTGCCTGTTTAGCTCCACCCACCGATTCTACATTACTGCCTGATTAACTCCACCCACATATTTTACATCACTGCCTGTTAAGCTCCACCCATTCGTTCTACAGCACCCATCCCCTTCCCTGAACCCAACAGACTGTAGCTCTTTCTTAATATGCTTTCTCGTGTAACGTCATCATCAGCTGCTACCAAGTTCAGTTCCAATACTCAAGACCTCAAGAACAGAGGACATGTGAAACTTCCCGGATGTGTTCTTGATATCGAGGGTGCACCGATGCGGACTTGAGCACCGAAGTCGCTCTAGAAGTCCCAGAAGTCATTGGGACTGGAGGTGGGAAGTGCAGCATTTTATTTAGGTTTATTATAAAAGTTCAGAGATGTAACTTGTTTACCTCAGGACTTTCCCTAAATGAAACGGTGAAAGTAAACATTACCATAAAGGAATAAACACATTAAAGACATTTGTTTGCTGAAATTTGTATTAAAATCTTAATTGTATTGTGCAACGTCTATTTATAATATTTTTATACAATGTATATATTTTGAAAAGGGGGAAAAACAAAAAAAAATTGTTGTATGAATGCTGTAATGTTTAAATTTACCATTTCAAATGTGTGAAAGTCATGTGACCATCAGGAAGAACGCAGCATCTCATTTCTCACAGGATGCGTTCTCTGTTCTTGTGGTCTCCCGAGTTAGTTCTTCCGAGGACACCTGGCAAGACTGGTCTTTACAAGAACGCAAGTCTGTTCTCTGGGTTCTTGGAATTGAGAAACAGCCAGTGTTTTAAGTGTTTTTCGACAGCGTCATTCTGCCTCATAGCATTTGTTTTATAGGGGAAACACAGCCGCTTCTCTGGCTACATAATTCATGCTCTCCTGAAATGTATGTAGGGCTACATTTTCAGAATGACCCTGTTTTGCAAATGTCATGTCCTACCTTCTTTATCTGGGTTGTGCATACAACATCTAAAATGCTGACTAGGTAGACATACATACATTCACTCGTTGTTTTTGGAACAAATCTTTGCTCATTGCTAGTCGCTCTGAGGAATTAATCCTTGTCTCCAACTGCTCCTGGTTTTTCTTGCGAGTGTAGAACAACACAAACTTAATGACATGGCTAATCCTACGCCCTGGCACGATGCCACGTTCTGCAGCAACAACAACATTAAGAATTCATAGCAAATTAAAGGTTTGGAGCACAACGGCAACGAACCAACACAGGTCTATGTTTTCTCTCGCTGCTAATTTGGTCATTACCAAAAAAAAAAAAA